GAAATACAGTATCTATGTATGCATTTAATCATGTATTATTTAATTATTTATTTATTTATTTCATTAGTTTGTCAAGGAACAGTGAGAGGATTATTGTCGTGTCCATCCACCAGCCAAGATATTCCATTTACAAACAGTTTGACTCTCTCACTCTTCTCTCCCAGGGGAACATGGTCTATCATGGAGCAATAAAGGAGACACTTCCATATTTTACTAACCTTGGTAAGAGGATATAGTATACACCTCCATTTAACAGACAGCACCTAGTGTACCAATTACATTATTACATGTACATTCCTTACTATATAAAATAACCTCCACATAAAGGACACCTCTGTATAACAGAGTAATTGTCTTATACCAAATTATCCATTATATAGAGGCTACACTGTACATGTACATGTTCAGATACGTAATATTATGTTAATGTTGTTTTCGGTTTTTAGGGTATTTTTGTGAGGAGCATGACAATCCTGCTGACTTTCTACTTGATGTTATTAATCAGTGTGAAGGACTGACATCAGCCACTGCAAGTACAAAAATAAATAATAATAACTAGGTGAATGTAAACATTGGGGGGCGAGCATGAGCCATTGATTGACATTTTGGACTACAATCCCAATCTAGCTTTTAAAAAAATTTTAATTTTATTTTATTATTATTATTATTATTTTACTTTATTTTTACTTGTTCATTTATTTGTAGTTTTTGTTATTTCATTTATTTTTTTATTCATCTTTATTTTTTATTATTTATTATTTTATCTTTTTTAATTTTAATTTCTTTTTGTCTTTTTATTTGTGTTATTATTATAATTTTTTAATTTCTTTTTAGTTTTTTTTTTTAATTTTCAATTTTACTGAAATATTAATTTATTTCCCTCCCTCTCTCTCTCCCTCCCCCCTCTTTCTCTTTCTCTCCCTCTTCCACAGATCTATTAGCTATTGAGTCAGAGATGGTTCCTATTGATATGTCTGATAGTTACCTAAAGTCCAGAGAGTGTGGGGACACTAGGAGAGAGTATGATAGGATCATTGAGAGACTGGAGAAGAATGAGCGAGGAGTTAGGTTCAGTGGTTTAAGAGGAAAATATGCTACTAACTTCTTCTGGCAGGTAATTAATAATTTTACAATTTTAATTTTATAAATTATATGCATTTAGCAGTTTTTATGAAAAATAAAAAAGTAAAATTACAATTATTAAATGATTATTTTATATCTTGTTTTTTCTTTACCAGTTGTTTATAGTTATGATTCGTTCCATCGTTAATTTACAGATGTAGCAAGAGATCCAATGACATCATTGGTACAGGTAAAGTACATGTACACATACATGTACATGTAATGGAAAGCATATGTACATGCATTTAAATTTAAAGCATGCA